TTATAGTTTCTGAAAATATTTCAAACTAATCACTGACGAAAATGGAAAGAATTACGATTATAAAACTTAAGAAAGACAGAAGTAGGCAACGCAAGATGTGAACAACGTTTTTTGCTTATTAAATAGCTTTTCCAGAAAAAACATGATTAAAATTAGAAAAATAGGATGAAAATTATAAAGAATATAATGATTGTGCATATTCTTAATTGTATGCAAGTAACCACTCCGGAAGGAAAGTCCAACAGCAATTGTCAACGACCCTGGACCAAAGGTACTATTGTTACCCCTTCTTTGGTTTGTATTCATTGTTACTTCTTTCAACCATCCTCTTATAAAGAAGCTGCATTGTGCTGATGAACGGCAATAAATCTGAAACGTCGTACACAATTCGCGTTTGTTTCTTGTGTCTCCTAGGTACCTGTAACTTTTTCCCTTTCATATTCTCTGTACTATAATCATTTCCTTTCTGATTAAAATCAGTTTTTTTATGACGTACTGGTTTTTCAACTTAAAGTAAAAATATAAAAACACCCATTAATATAGTTATTTTATCACAATTCTCTTGTAATTCTTGAGACATAAGAAATAGTTTAAATTAAGTAACAATCACACCTAATTTAAGTTCTTTATCACCTAGTTACGAGTTATTAGGACACTAATATTGAACAAAAGAATACTGTAAAATTACAGAAAGATTCAAAACAACGCAGAGAACTGCGAGTCGTTATCTTAGGAAAATATTTGGAATATTAATTAAGAATACGATTAAAACGTGATCCTATATTAAAATTGATATTTAAAAAGTACATACAAAATTATTTATTCATTTTCTACTCCCAATGAGATGCATTCGGTCGGTGAATAAAAGTCAACAGAGTCGAACGCGGTGCTCGTTGAAATTCAATTTTCAAATGAATGTGAATGTAAATCAATCTAATTTATTCCATTGTATGAATAGTTATATTATATTTTCAAGAATTTAATTACAGCACATACCACAGCTACTGCGCTATTATAACAACAGTTTCCTCCTCACTTACATGAGGTAAGGGTATTATTCTTTATTCAAGACGCATATCTAAATAGGTTCGTACGGAGTTTTTAAGTAATTTAAAAACTACTATTTTCTAAAGGATTCATTTCCTGTTCAGTATTTACTACATATGATCCTCATGTGAAAAGGAATGTTGTACTCTGTATAAAATGAATTTAGTGACAAATAAATCCAAATGTTTCGATATGTTCAAAGTAAAGATCTCAAAAAATGTAAGTATGTAGTTTTCGTATACAATGACTCGAAATTTAGTTTTGTTTACTAAAGGCATATCCTCTTTCATGATTTACCGAGATTACGTTTTGAAGAAAGGTAAGAAAGGACACGTTCTATCATTTACATCACCATGTCTTGTCACGCAAAATCACGCAAGAAATTCTGAATAGTGTGTGGAAAAGGGTAACATCACATGGCGAAATTATTTGCAATTAAAAATGCAGCTAAATAACCCGTAATCTGTAAAATATAATAGAATGTTAGGTACTAGTGGTCCTAATCCCCAAATTAAACTGAAAATAAAAGCAACGTAAGATTAATTAAAAATGCTTTCAAATACAATTAAAATGTTTATCCAAACCTTAAAACAGATTATACACCACTGATGATACGTTTTTTAGATACCGGCTGTTTATTTCAATTATAAAAAAAAGCAATTGAAAGACGAGTTGTTTTATTCAAATCTAGTATAATGTGAATATCTGCATATTATTATCATTATTTAAACAATAACTTGATGTAATGAGAGTTTTGGCAATAAATAGATACAGGATGCATCAATTTCGACACTTTTTGAAAATTTCACCTATTTCCTGACAACAGTAGTTATTATGTTACGGGTTAATTTTTCGAAAAAAAAAAAAATAAGAAGGCAAAAATCGCATCTCGATGTTTTGATTCGTTTAATTTTTTATTCGGCCGATTTTCAAGATATCATATAACTTTTAGCCCAACTAAATGGGCCTTTAAATCGCAATTTTGGTCAACTTGCCTGAATTTTTGATGTTTTGAGGTATACAATAACAATAAACGACAGTAATTTTTTTCAACCCCTGGGTAGGGGTGAAAAAAATAAAATAAAGGGGTTTTTCAAGTTAACTCAAAAGGGGTAAAAGTTAGAAAAAAGTTTCTTATAAAAGTTGTAGAGCATAAAATTCTACATAAAAATGGTCTATTGACTTTTACTTGTACTATCAAAATTAACAGAGTTAGGGGGACTAGAAGTTAAGGGATGACTTCAGAAATTTAAAAAATCATAACAAGCAGAAAAATGAATGAATTTTATAATTTTTTTTTCTATCTACTCCAAAAAATGTAATGTTTTCAGAGAAGTAGATATATTTTTTAATTTTTAATAAAAAGTTGTAGGTAATAATGTCACAAAGCGAACGTGATTTGTTGTCGTAAAACAAAATTTCGACAGCAACTTTTCATTATTTTAAATAATCAATCGAATGGCATAGAAAAAAATTGTTTTAGTGTTAAAATCAGAAAAATTAACGATTAAAAAATTGAAACTGTTATAACTTTTTTTATTAAAAATTAAAAAATGTATCTATTTCTCTGAAAACAAAGTTTAGGTACATGTTTTAGAGTAGACTGAAAAAAAAATTAAATTCATCCATTTTTCTGCTCGTTATGATTTCTTAAATTTCTAAAATCATCCCTTAACTTCTAATCTCCCTAACTCTGTTAATTTTAATAGTACAAGAAAAGTCAATAGACCATGTTTATGTACAACTTTTATAAGAAACCTTTTTTCTATCTTTTATCCCTTTTGAGTTATCTTGAAAAATCCCTTTATTTTATCTTTTTTCACCCCTGACCTGGGGTTGAAAAATAAATTGCTGTCATTGTTATTAAATACCTCAAACTAACTTATATGAAAAATTCAGGCAAGTTGACCAAAATTGCGTTTTAAAGGCCTATTTAATTGGACTATTTGTTTTCTGAAAACATCTAATTTTGACATATTTATAGGAAATATTAATTTGTTACCATTCCACTAAGAATTTTAGTTACACCCTATTCATTATAAAATAAAGCATTGTCTAAAAATACGAATCATTTAGAACATGATTTTGATGAATGTCAAGTTTAGTGAACTTGATATTCACCAAAAGCATAGGAAAAGAAGGTGCCTGGAAAATTAAAACAGTTTTTTAACTATATTAGATGACTTGGTTCTGTTTCTAAGAAAATCTTAAACAGTTAGGCAAATTATGAACAACTCGAAACTTTATTTTAAAGAATTTCATTTCTAATCTCGGATAATAAAAGAAATAAATCAAATCGCCAATCGACATTGATAAAAACACAAACAAAAATATGGATGAATACACTTTGACAAACACTTTTATAAATAATAAATCTGCCTTTTATTTTTCTAATTTGTGTTCATTCTAACTAAATTTAAAATACCCACGTAGCATTTATATTTTCTGTACAGTAGACTTGATATCAGACCGTGATTGACAGATACAAGGAGATTATGTGCAGGTATTTTTTAAACTCTATCAGCTACTTCAAAAAATTCTCAACTGTATTTTAATTATTTTTATTTTGAATTCAATAATGATACGTTTAAAATACATCACAAACACAGAGAAATTTACAAAAACCTCACATCTACTATTGTATATATTTGTATGTAAAATTTATTGTCAATATTAAAACAAGTGTCTACGGTTTTTTGTTACATTTAGATGTCCATCAAAGACAAAATGAAACTCTCATAACACACTGGGTCCAAAAACCAATCCCGGCATTACAAATTCGTTCCATTTCAGAATTTGTAATGGAATCTTATAAATTTATAGTGTTCTCAGTTCAAGGTTATATCGGTTTGTGTATTACCTACAGTAGTACCTACAGTAGTTCTATTTATATATTTACTAAAAGTGACCATTCTAAATTTTATGCATACTTTCAACGGACATTACTTTTCCTACGCCGATAAGTAAGTACTGGTACAGAATGAGAGACAGCATAACACACCGCACCGTCCTGTCATTAATTGTAGCCAGAACGCTTCTCTTGGAACTGGTTTTTTGTTAATCTATCAAAAAGTAACATTTTATTGGTCGCCTGACTGCTTGCGAGCTCATTTATAACCACATGCAAATTTCAGAAGGCGAAACTAGAAACAGTTAGATCAGTACACGCTTGTTTATGTTCTTGTGAAACTAAAAAATATACAACAATGTATTAATCCACGCTACGGGAAGTTCAAACATTGCACCCCCGTTGCATCACCATTATTATAAAAATTAATGACGATACAAAATAATTTATAGAACATCTTCGGCACAGTTAACTTATCCCCTGCCGCTAAACATCACATGTAAATTAACCACAAACGTGCGTGATGCGAACCGCCAAATTTGCATTAAAAAATATTTTAAAAGTTGGTTCAACAACAACTGGAATGTAGCTGCTAACGACTCTCAAGATTCTCAATTCCAAAATTAAAATATACAAGTTTAGGGTTATGACTGGAACCGTATTTCCCACTGGTAGTTATCGTTATACAAGCTTTTACTTTATTTACTTTTTAACCATAGAAACAAGTCCTTACAGTTCACCTATCAAAGTTGGGTAAATCTGGTAATCAGCTGATTCAAATTTTAAATCACCATTCCTTGGCTTTAACCTGTTTGGTCACCACCACTCCACACACACAGTGCAACTCGATGTGTAAGGACCATACGCGAATTTCCGTTCAACAAACATTTTCGCGAACATTGGCCACAAACGCTGAAATCAAAAGTGAATCTGTCAAGTGACAATTAAACCGGTAGCATGCCAAAAACGAACGGCATCTATAAAAATACGTTTACGCTGTAGGAAAACGTGGATATTAATGAACAAAGACCAACTCTAGTATGCCAAACCGTCCGCACCGACGAATTATCCAAAAAACTAACAAATTGTACAAATGCATGGCTACCTGCGATCAGCAAACGGGGTCCAACGTCCTATTTACAAGGCGAACGCGACGCGACTGCTCTTTTCTATATACCGGCAAGTTGTGCACACAGCGCCACCTCACATAAACAACTACACAGCCGGGGAAAAGAATCAAAATAAAAAAGAAAGAAGTTACACAGCATCGTCCGGTACGGTCAGTACCTGTGCTACACCTGGTTCACCAGATTCTGTAATCTATCATCTTTAAGGTAAATCGATTTTAAATGACCCGTTTCAATGAAATTTGAAAAGACTATTTTACGTTGTTTATTTGATATCCGCACGGTGTCAGGTTAATACTGTGGTATGGATGCAAGTAAAAGTAAACTGGCGAGCACTCCCATGCGATTTTTTTGAAATGTGTTCGATATGCTGATATGGGTAATTGTACCTAACACGTCGCCGATAATGACTTACATTCAATTCGTTGAGAAACACCTATTAACCTGTTTACATCTAAACGAACTGCATTAAACAGATAATGGTTTTGGTTCAAGTAGGAACACAGCTAAATTGGATTTTTTTATGGCTATAGCGGGTTTTGCCTATGTAAATGTTCATAAGTGGAATTTGGACATCATGAATTTTCTGTGTACACCTCCACCACCTGTAGTCAAGTGGTCTTG